AACTATTACTGCGACACATCATCTGTAAGAGAAAAAAAGTTATTTGTATCTAAGTCATAGTGAGCTATGACCTACATTTGAAAAACTAAAGTTGTTGCTGATATCTCAAATTCTAGAAGAGTTGGTATAAATTTCATATCTTTTTCGAAATCACTTTGAGAATCTGCCATGAGAATGTGAAATTCCTATTTGAATATTTTCATAAATAAAGAAGTTACGGAGGAGACATGAAAATGATCAAATTCTGTTTTTTGCGCATGAAACAAAAACGGATAGATTTTATCAAAATATTTTTTCACATTATAGTTGGCCTTGACAAACTACACATTTGGTGTCATTTAACCGACCTCGTACCTCTCACCGTTAAAAAGATACCCATGGTGAGCATGGTAAGTGGGACACACTGTATAATAAGTATGCTTTCATAGTGGAAACCAAGCCAACATTTTAGACAGAGTCGACAACGATGCCACCCAATTCACTTCTCATTTCTCGAAACAAATATGCAATGGGCGAGTGGACTGATGCATTAGTGGCATTCAATTACTCCACTGTGTCGTTATGAATCTAAATTAATTTCTTAGGTTTTTTTTGTGTAAATAATGAATCTATGCGTTGTTCGGAATTGTTGAATTTCAGAGCTCGTTTCAAACGAACCGCCATGGCCGCTATTTGGCGATACGTCGAATAAATGGTGACGTCACTTTTTATGCTGTTTCGTTTTTGATCAGATAATCTTCCATTCCCAATCATGAAGCAAGGTGGTCAAGTCACCAATCATAATCAAGTTATCAAGAAGATGTTAAAGTCCTGTCGTTGAATAAAACATAATAGGAGGAACCCATGAGAATTGACAAGACTAAGTCCACAAGTCGTTCGCCGTAGTTGTCACGTTCACCGATCCAGAAGTCCTCTAGTGTGTATCTCAATCAGTTAGCCACAAATCATAAGGAAACATTTTGAGACAATTGAATATTCATTGCTGATTAGGAGTAATACTCAATTGAGAATTTGTGAATCATCGAATAAATAATATTCCTGAAGTCCCCAATCGTATTTCGACACATTGCAACTGTGCTATGGTCTACCCCTACTTACGAAATCGTTTTTACTGGCGGTGAATTTCTAGCCGTCTGAAAATTACTGTGACATTATTGATATAAACCATTTTTTGTATCGCTTGGAGCGCACGAAAGGGGATCCCTATAATGTTCAAAGAACATCGTGCGTTCCTAGGGAGGATAGGGACAGGAGGTAGGTATTGGATTATTTTTCGAACTTTTGGAGATTATATGTTGTTCGGAATACTTCCACAGGCAATGAATTCCAGAGCCTAGCCGTTCTATGGATGAAGGAGTCTTGATAAAGTGCTGTTCGACATCTTTCGAGGTTGACAACGAAAAGATGTGCTGATTGTGCTTGTCTAGTTCGTCTGATTGGTATTGCTAGTGAAGGGATGATAGCAGAGATTCCCGAAGAACATTTCCCGTGGAAGTATCGATAGAAAAGTGAAAGGTCGCCGACCTTTCTACGGTGTTCCAATGATGTCAAAGAGTGAGTGAGTGTGGCGTCACCCACCAGGCGAATGGCTCTTCTCTGGATGGAATCTAAGAGCATCAGCGTATGTTTTGGTGCTGAACCCCATATGTGGGAACAGTATTCTAGAACAGGCCGTATCTGCGCTTTGTAGATCATGAGAAGCTGTTGAGGTGTAAAGTAGCTTTTCGCACGGAACAAGAATCCGAGTTTTTGTGAAGCAGCTTTTGCGATGGATCTGACATGATCATCCCATGAAAGAGTGTGGCTGATTGAAATACCGAGCATAGATATGGTGGACTTGGTGGGGATGGTGGAGCCAGACATTACAATATCGGGCATACTGAGTTCCGCCTTCCTATAGAAAATGCAGGCTTGAGTTTTGGTGGCGTTGAATTCAACTAGGTTGTTTGTTTCCCAGGCTGTGATTTCAGCAAGATCTTCATTGACAGCATTGACCTGCCTGCGCCGTGAGTTCTTAGTTTCCTGGGAAGAAATAGGAATTCTGGAAGAGAACGCAGTATGGAGGATACTATCATCTGCAAAGCTGTGGATAGGGCAAGTTGTTACTCTCAACAGATCATTGATATGAAGCAGGAATAATGTTGGTGCCAAAATTGATCCTTGTGGAACGCCGGAATTGATGCCAATGGTATCAGACGATACACCGTCCACCACCACGTGAAGCGATCTGCCTGAAAGAAAACTCGATAAGAGATGGCATAGCTGAGGTGGTAAGCCGTATGATGGTAGTTTGTGGAGGAGTCCTTCGTGCCAAATACGGTCGAATGCGTGAACGGTGAACGGTGAAAGGTGAACGGTGAATATTTCATCAGCAGGAATGTTGTTTCTTTGAGTCAATTCACCTTCAATGTATGAATAACTATCACAAGGCGCCGAATGAATATTACTTTCTTGCACAGATATACGGACTTCATCATTGCAGTACATAATATTACTTGCTGCATATAGTTGATATGTCTGAAATTGGTAGTTTTCTACCGTTGTATCATTACATTCAACAGCTCCATTATACCAATACTCTCAATTCGAGAGATCTCAAAAACAATCGGTTTCTTTATATTAATAGTAATATTTTTTTCATATATTTTGCGAGGGACGTTTACCGAAGAGTCCGTATTGAATCTGAGTACCATAATTATAAAATTCTTCCCAAGTGTAGCGTTATAGTTATTGTTTATTTTTGAAAGTTCATTATATTTTCGTCTAGATGAAAAACACGGCAAGTATTGTTACTTATCGTCTTGACTTACAGGAGAATACAGTATAGTCCTCGTATAGTCTGTGGTGTTTTCAGTATTTCATACCCGTACCGTTCTATTGGTAAAAACGCATGAATAATATGAACGGGTTGTCATTCGAAAAAGATCCATAAGTTATATCCCAATCTATGCATATAGCATTCACTTTGGGTATCTCTACTGAATCCAATGCTTATGTCTACCTGGGTCTAAAACTTTTTGATTCAATCCTTTAACAAACCCTATGGAAAATGAAGTTTTGTATTCGTTTCAACTCACATTCTGGATGTGTGATAATTCAGAGTGAATTGGAAGTTCACTTCAGGATTTATATTGTTCACAATTATTTTCAGTATATCAGTCAATTCCGTTACTTCAACTATAATTCCTGATTGATCATTACCATTATAGTAAAACTGATTTTTTTTGAACTCAATATCATCAATTTGGTGGATTGTTTTGAAACTTTTCAGACCAACCTCATAATTCCCGTTATCTTCGAGATAACGAGGTACCTCCAAGTCAGCTGATAAAACATCAAATTGTATACTGCTATACTTACTATCTACTGACATTTAATTGGAACATTTACAGGGTGGTTCAAGATTCATAATTCTGATCACCCTGTATCTGTTCCAATCATTAAATGTCAGTAGATAGTGAATCAAACGTTAAGATACGGACATGAGAGCCGTTTTGACCGATAATGAATAGTTTCGTCACAAAAAAATTGAAAAATCTAGATTTTGAACATCCTATATCTCTGTAATCATTCTTGCTAGACCCCAAGTGTGAAGCATTGATCAAATCAGCTCTTCAGGGAGAATCTGAAAATATTTAATGGAACACCTTGTTCCATTAAAAAACATATAGTACCCTGTTCCGAGCACCCTGTATTTTTTGATGCAGCGGAAAAAACTTCATCAAAAATCATTTGAGATGATATTTCAAATTTTGAAATCTGTACAAAAATAACTGAGCTAGAGGGGGGGACATTTATGGTGAATCACCCTGTACTTGCCCCCTTTGATGGCAAATAACCGTTGTCGCTTACCGCTGGCTCCATCTAATTGTTGTTGATGAAAGGATAATATTACTCACGACACTTACAGCTTTTGTCAGGCCATATAGGATGTCGTTCAACACCGTTCTACGGCAATATCTCAATTCATGAAATTATGGCACTTAGCACCTTTGTTTCTTCCACTCTTCAATTGATCTCTGATGACGGAAGCCATATTGCCTATCGTTGATAATACCTGAATGTTCCATGTATTCCATGAGCTCGATGTTGATAGCTTTCTCCATGATCTTTGAAATGATAGATAGCAGTGCGATCGGTCTATAGTTGCTAGGTAGGGTCTTTTTGCATTTTTTAGGAACTTGTTGTATTCTTGCAATTCTCCAGTTGAGCGGGAATATCCCCAATTTGTAAAAGTAGTTGAACAACTTGCAGAGAACAGGTGTTAGTTCGGGAGCACATTTCTTGAGAACAATCGGAGGAATTACGTCGGAGCCTCAAGCTCTGTTGGTGCTGAGACCCAATAAAATCTTCCTTATAGTACGTTGGCGAAAGGAGATCTCGGGCATATGACTGTCAATTAGCGTTATGTTTGGAAGTTGTTTTTCCGATGAATCCAGAGTGGAATTTCCACCAAATAAATGCGCAAAAATGGTGAACTTCTCGGATGAAATTCGAGCGACGAGTTATATTTGGAAAGATTATTTTCATTACCAATTTGATAAAATGAAAAAAGCACATTCTACTAGTCGAATTGATACTACGTCATTCTATTATGATTGATCAAACGGTTCTAGAGGTGATGTGTGTGGCAAACCTCTGCGATGACTACAAGTCAAGGATTGAAATATCACTTGTGTTATCGAATTTGAAAACGATGAAAAAAGTTACGTTTTGTTATCTCGGAGAATTGACAATTTCTTTTTTTGTTACTTACACATAAGATAGGTCGGAAGAAACAGGATGGCGGACACTGCTGAGTCAGATTAATGTATACAAGGTTTCATCAAGAACCATGCGATTTTATCAGTATAATACCGAATGATTGGCTAGAATCACGCATTGCTATTGGTTGAAACAGCGAGAACGTCACATTTTGACATGTGGAAAAAACTATTGAGGGTATATTACCAGTGAGAGTGAAAATCTCTGGAGTATCTTGAATGATACTATGGAGTCATCTTTTCTTGATTATCCTTTGAGTTCTACTGAGTACGATGGAACTAGGTAGGTACGTTTATTATCAATGGTTCAATTCACGTTTCAAACAATATCATGATCAAATTGATTCATCTTCACAGCTCTCTTGGAAATCGAAACACTCTTCTTCACGAATCTGGTCGCATTCGTCTTCGTCAGGAACGTCAAGAATGTTTTCCAAACCAGCCACTTTATACGGATCACCCGTCAATCTTTTATCCCTCAGGTACTGCAAACGCTGATCTCTCGTCTCTAGAAGCCTTCTGAAGCAGTTACCAACCACTAAATGGTTCAACACATATGCTATGCCGTGAGGAGCAGCCATAGCAACTGCTATTATACTAAAAGCTGGAATGATCTCGAACCACATCTGAAAAAGAGAAAGGGAAATTGAAAATTTTTCTCATGAGATAGGTACATTTTCATAAAAACGCCTGAGGGAGAATCATCTATGGTCGCCTTTCCTGCTCAATCTCAGCATTATTGTTGAATTGATCAACTCCGCAACCACGGCCTTCTAGAATGCAAGGCCCTTCGTTACCAAGGCGCGTCTGTACAAAAAGTTTCTTGCACCTTATAGTGACAGTTATCCTTGACATTTTCTTGCTACATGGAAAATCTTTCAATTATAGCACCAACATTATTTCTACTCCATATCAACGATTTGTTGGAAGCAACAACATGTCCAGTACACAGCTTCGCGGATGATAGTACCCTCCATACCGCCTTCTCTTCCAGGGCTCCAATTCCAGCCAGGCAAATCAAAAACAAACGAGGGAGAAATGTTGACAACATAAATATGGACCAGGCAACAATTCTCGAATGGGAATCCAATAACTTGGTAGATTTCAATGAAAACAAAACACAAGCATGCCTTTCCTCTAGAAAAGCCGATCTCACTGTGGCCAACAGAAGCTTGTCAGGAGTAACCATACCTTTGAAAACATCCAAACTATCAGCAATAACCTTTCTTGGGAAAATCACGTGAGATCAATTGCTGAAAGTGCATCCCAAAAACTTGGTTCTCTGTTTCGGGCCAAGAGCTATTTCACTTCCAGTCAGCTGCTTATAATCTATAAGGCACAGATCCGAGCTGTCCTGGAATACTGTTCCCATATTTGGAGTGCAGCTTCCAAACATACCCTGAAACTTTTGGATTCTGTCCAAAAAAGGGCGATTCGTCTCGTGAGAGAAGCCTCGCTCACACACTCACTCACTTCTCTGGGACACCGTAGAAAAGTTGGCGATCTGGCTCTATTTCAAAGATATTTCGATGAACGATGCTCTCCTGAAATATCAACAATTGTTCCTCCATTGGCAGTCCCCGCGAGATTAACTCGTCGAGTTGAGGCGTCGCACCCCTTCGTGGTCACTTTTGAGACCTGCAGATCATCTCTTTCCAAAGACTCGTTCGTCCAACGAACAGCGAGGCTCTGGAACACATTGCCAAGGGAGGTGTTCTTCGAGGCATATAACCTCCAGGAATTTAAGAAGGAAACCAATTCCTATCTTATCTCCCTTGGTTCTTACGATGTTCTCTGAACATTACAGGATATCCCTTTTCGTGGGAGCCAGAACATAAAAAAAATATGGAATGTGGAATGAATTCATGGAAGGACCGCCAAGTTTTCAAGGAAGGAAAATGATCCAGGGGAAATCTTACCAGAACCAAGTTCTGAATTCACTCGGCCGTTACTTGATGGAAATGAAATAAACTAACCTTGGCTTGCCTAACTTATAAATATCCAACTTTAACAACCTGAAGGATTAGAATTACCCGTGGAAAGATTCGATTAACCTTCATTTTCGGAAAATAGGCACAATATCTATACCTTTTCAACTTCAATTTCGGAATCGGTAACTTATATTTCGGAAAAAGTAATCTCGATTTCGGAATTGGTTACTTCGATTTCAGAAATGGTAAACTCAATTTCAGAATCGGTGAGTTGAATTTCAGATAAAGTCCATTCAATTTCAGAAATGGTAAGTTGTACCTATTTCAGAATTTGTAGGTTCAATTTCAGAAAATAAATCCTTTTGTTTGTTTGAAATATTTCCAATTGCATGTGTGATTAACAAACCATATTACAATATTCAACTGTTCAGAAACAATTCAATAACATAATTATAATCTCAATTTAATCCACAGATGTCTTCCATCCGAATCGCAGAAGGATAGTAGCGTTGCACATGATTTTAAGAATGCAAACACATTTGAAGTGTTATCATTTTCATTGAATGATCTGCACATTCTTCAAGACATCGCAGTCTGAATTCTATCTGGTTGAGCAATCTGTTCGGATTCCCAGCTATGACCCTTTGGCGATGCTCTTGAAAAAGCTCTTCACTTCTGACTTGAAGGCACTCCATATATGTTCAATAGAATTCAACATAGGGCTGTAAGGTGCCAATCTGCAAAATATAACATTCCTCCATGCATATCTCTTCTATTTTTGAATGTGCAGGTGCATTATCCAGAACTACCACTATGGTATCTGCAAGATGTCCATTAAACAATCTTCTCTTTTGCAATTGAGAACATTTCAAACATATAAAAGGATTCATCTTCTGAAATTGAACCTACCAATTCTGAAATGAAACTTACCATTTCTGAAATTGAATGGACTTTTTCTGAAATTCATCTCACCGATTCTGAAATTACGTTTACCATTTCTGAAATCGAACCAACCAATTCTGAAATCGAGATTACTTTTTCGGAAATATAACTCACCGATTCCGAAATTGAAGTTGAAAAGGTATACATTAAGATACGGTGTAACGGATCAACTTGAAAGGGTTAATAGCAAATAAGAACATATTATAACCTGCTAAGAAACCATATTTAACAGTGCTCAACTATTGAGGTCTAGTTGATCGTTGAGTATAATGTTAGAATTTCTGAATTTGTTGATTTCTTATGATTCAAAATGATTGAGTTATATTCGTTCAGTTTCTACGTGAGGAATTTCGAAATTATCATTAAAACTATAGTTTCCTCCTAATATATTGTTGGCTTATGTTGTATATTTGTTATCTTTTTGTGCTACGCTTTTCCCCCAACTTTTAGAGAGTTGCAAACTTGGGTTCACACCACCCTAGTGGGCCCAAACGACATATTGATAAATTCAATACACATCATGTTTTGTTATTTTAGCCATTATTCGTGTCAATTTTGACTGGTGTATCAGTTTTTGCCAATATCAACCTGCAAGTTGTCTCAAAACTTGAATTATCATTTTTCAGAAACATTGAACGGTATATGAAGTACTGTATCTCGAAAACTATTGGACTTACATTGCTGCGGTTATACTCATATTATGGCAAATTCAATGTTATTTAAATGAGGTATAATTTGTTTTTGGGAATTATAAGCGGACAACCAAAAAAGTTCGAAACTTACGTCGTTCTTCGCGAATATCTCAAAATGCACCAAGAACTTATTTTGGCTAGTTAAAGATTCGGATTCTGCACCCCAAAATATGATAAAATCGACTACTGAATTTTTTGCAAGAAAACGGTGTATTTTAGTACCGTCCATCTGGGTTATAATACCTACTCACAAAAAACTGATCTTAACTGTAACAAATCGTATCTAGTCGAAAATATAAATAGTGAAAGTCGACGTACATGTCAGACAAAAACCGAAATTGAAGTTTTTTCATATGGTTTCTTCCTCAATACTTTGGACTCAATTACGCCACCATTTCCATAATTTCATACATTAACTACTACGCAACATTACATTATTTTCACAACTCACCCTTAAATCTACTCCAACGGAACTATGAATAACTTATTTATTACAAAGTAATACAACAGTGTCGAAATAATAGTTGACATTAACTGTCAAACCTGGATAGAAACAGCTGATATCTTGATCAAAATAGATTTTTGTGCCACGTGCAGTGTTGTTCTTGAGGAAATGTCACCTGTACTAATGTCATTCAACTGATTGTATAATTCTGGCAGGAATCGGCAACTCATTCGCAATTGATCATTCTAGAACACGTGATTTTGACATGGTTTCTTGAGGGGCACACAATCTATCTATTAGGTTACCTTTGATGAGCATTGCCCTGGCCGTCCCTGCTACATCCACAATATAATAACAGCTATTTCACCAAACAAAATCATGAGATTCTTTCTGGTTCCAACTCGGATTCCAAGGAAAACGATCCCACTAATTCTGGTTTTATATGACAAATCTTGACAAAATAGTCAAAATACAATGTTTGCCCCTCAGCAACCTGTTAAATGACGTAATTCTGGAATGATTAATAGTTGAAGAAACTATGAAATCATCGAATAACATTATAATATGATAGAACATTTTAGAAACATTGTTTTGAAGGAACATGAAACGAAGGTACCTAGTAAAACCTATATTAATCTTTGGAAGTAGTTCTTTCGGAAGGAGTTCATGATAACTGAAAGTGGAATGTAGTTGTGAAGAATGAGCAAAGATCATCAACCGATAAGTAGTTCGAAGTTCTTGAAAAACCGATTTCGATTTAGGAAATAGATGCAATGATTCACACTGAAGTAAGAAAAGTGGGAATCTAAATGAAGTACACAATAACAGAGCAGTCAAAGGCAAATGCTCGTTGATCTGGAAAACAATCAGATGATGAATGTGTAAAAGGGGGTGGATGATAGGAAAACTTACTTTCTATATGTGAGAGTTGTGTTTGTATGAAAAGTCTGAAATAACGATCAAAGGGTCGGATTCACGTCCCCCTAAATCACCGAAAAGTGGCAATCAACCAGGAAAATATCGAAAAGTATGATGTGGCATGAGCTAGTAATGATAAGAATTCTAGCAGTTCATGAGCATTGAAATATTTCAACTACACTTTGATAGTTTTATATTAGGAAGGTGAAACTTTCATATGTCTTGCTAACGATGGATGATGGAGGTGGATAAGGAAAATCTATCGTACATTATGAGAAGCGTTTGATTGCGTACATGAGTTGACGTCATTTGAATTGAGAAATGACGGGAATAAGTCACAGCTTCACTGCTCATTACTCACCTACTAGCTATCAAGTTGACGTCGAATTGGGGTCAACATAACGGTAAAGTGACGTCAAAATTAGGTCCTGTATCGTGAACAAATGGATACATTGACTCCAAACCATGAGAAGGCTCAAGGTATAGGTACTAAAGATTGTGACCATTAAAAAATATAGCGATCAAGAGCAGTAGTTCGTGGAAGACGTATCAAAACGAAGAGAATCGCGGAGAACGAAGCTACATTGGCACAGTTCATAGTGCAAGGAGAAGATGGTGTGCCTACGCGCATATCATGTGACGTCATATGGGATACCAGTGACAGCTACTAGTCGAAGACCGATACAGTTGCCATAGGCGTGCGCTATGAATTTAATCAAGCCTAATGAAATATCAATGAGTTTATCGATCTGTCTAGAAGTAATTGAATTTATATAAATATGTACCTACCTATTTCTTCGATTTTACTCTCTCATTGATACTGGAACTCGTTATCTTGCATTTACAATCGCAAATAGCGAATACATACAAATTATTAAGCATTGCCAATCCCATCGAATGATTCGCCATTGTGTCAATTCTGACAGAATCAAATTCAGAAGTTGATATTGTTTCTGCTTTGACATCGACAACAGGAGAATCATTTTTTGCCCTTTTGTTATTCAAATATTTGCTGCAATTTATATTTTCTGAGAAATTAAGTCTTCTGACTTGATTTCCATTCATTTCTAACTTAATATTTGACGGAAGATGTTGTGTAGGAATGACTCATCGTTTCAAATATTTGTATATTTGTGGTTTTTTGGAGGTGTGTTATTCAACAACTGTTCGAGAAAGTTTTGCATATGGAAATGTTGCGAACAGATATATACGTGCTGAAATATGAATGTGATGATAAATTACAAAGTAATACGACCGTGTCGAGATAATAGCTGACATTACCTGTCAAACCTGGATAGAAACAGCTGATATCTTGATCAAAATAGATTTTTGTGCCACGTGCAGTGTTGTTCTTGAGGAAATGTCACCTGGACTAATGTCATTCAACTGATTGTATAATCCTGGTAGGGATCGGCAACTCATTCGCAATAGTAGAAGAAACTATGAAATCATCGAGTAACATTCATTTTTTCGAGGGGCTTATACAGCTGGTCGTACGTACGATACCGGTGATATAGACGAATAAAAAACTATGTAACCAACATTTTTTATTGATTGTGCTGTTTTGATTGTAGAATTCAATAGATTTATTCAGATAGATATTTGATTAATAAATGAAACAACATTTCTCATGAGAATATTAATATCCCGTGTCTCAAAACTATAGCAAGTTTTGAAACAATCGTGTTAACATGAATTTCCTCTCCTAGAATATCACAAGAATAAGCCCATGAACTTTGTCGAATTTATTCACAAACACCATGTATGAAAGTTGAATCGGTAAAGCACCGTTCCAATGGAGTGTTCAGACTACATCTTTTTTGGCTCATGGGTTTTGGCTCGTCCATTTTCAAAAAATATACAATCATTCAATTTGTTTATACTAAACCGATACTATACCTAGATATATTTGGAAAACACCGAGACAGGTAGTGCTATAATTATCCTAGAAATCTACCAAACAAACAGCAAGATATTTCCGATACACTTCCTTATAAGATTCGTACTCACCGCTTTACGATGGAAGAGATCATTGAATGTTCACAAAAACTTATCATTTCAAGAAAAAAATATCAATTCCTTATTTTTCCCAGATAGCTTATTTAGCCGGGTCGAAACAAACTATATTGCATTTCTTTCACATTATCCATTATTGATTTTCGCTTGATCCGATATGCTGTGGAAGATCGAAGAAGGAAACCGATTTTTTTAATAGAATGATTGAAAATTATTGCCATCCCTATCCTTGAGGTGGTAATGGATTTCCATTAATATCATTTCTGTGAATACATACACTCAGTTCCAAAAAAAGAGACGCACTTGATATTTGACCTATCTTCTTATAAAAAAAAAACAAACAAAAAAGAGTACGCCGATTTTTATATTTTTTTCATTCGTTGGTGGGTAATGCATTTGTGTTAAGAAAAAAAATAAAGAGGTGAACATTTTTTCAAAGCCTCCTTGATGGTGGTGGAATAACTCGAACCATGATTTATTCTTGATTTTTGACTCACCCTGTGTGTTAATTGAGTAATGGCATAGAAAGTGCTTACACCCTATACGAAAGAGGCTTCTTTTGCGAGCATTTTGTTTTTTTATTCATCTCTATCTCTCTCTATCTCTAAAATTTTCCGAATTGCAGCTTTTTTTGCTGAATCCTTGCAGATTACCAACTTTCTGAATTTATCGAGAAACAATTTTTTAATGAAATAAACTGATACCAATAATTTTGAAAAAAAAATTGTATTTCTGACTGGTATATTATAAGCTTATATCATCTTAGTTACACTATCAATTAGGAGGGTCATAACTCCCTTGGGATGTTATAGATGCTATAATTCCCTCTAGCTAAAATTGAATAAGAAATGCATAGCAACAACCACGCAATAACGTAGCAATAAGGAATCTCCTATTCGCGGTAGTCAAGATCATCATCTGACGTTCTGATGACATTGAAACTATACGGAAAAACATGTCTAACTTCCAATCGGGAAGGTATCTAATGAATGAAATCAGTCAGAAATAAAATTATCTATGTATCACGGGAATTATAGAGCCTCAATAACCTCTGGCAATTGCTGTCCCTCGGGCCAGAGGCCCTCGGAACGCAAACTTTGCCATCGGTAATTAAGGCCCTCATAATTCCCTTAATACATAAATAACTATATTAAACACGAAATTATGAATCGGGATGACTGCTTAATACCGTGTATTGCCTCCTCTAGCAACTCTAAGAACTTCTAATCTACGAGGCATACTGTAAATTAAGTTGCTTATCGTTTCCATTGGTATACGATACCATTCTTCCACTAATGCATCTGCCATTTCTGCGAGACTTTCCGGAGACCTCTCGCGAGAACGTACCCTTCTCCCTAATTCATCCCACAAATGTTCTATAGGATTCATATCGGGGCTTCTCGCAGGCCAATGTAATGTGGTAATACTAGTAGCTTCTAAGAAGTTTCGCACTATTGCTGCGGTGTGTGGTCGGGCATTATCCTGCATTAATATAAAATTATTGCATAAGGTAAAACATACTGCTCTAAAATGTCAATGTAAATTTGGGCATTCATCGACTGCCTCACCGGAAAAACATGAAGGGGGTGTCTTTTCATCCACTGAAATCCCTAACGGACCCACCATTAAAAGTTTCGCGTTCTGTTATTAAATGATCAAAACGTTCACCAGTTCTTCTCCACCCTCTTTCTCCTCCACCATGTTGAGGCAAAACCTTGACTAATTCGTAAAAAGGACATTCGACCATTCAGGAATAATACACTTTCCAAAATTTTCAACAAAATTTCTTCTAGCAATACGATGTTCGGGCAATAATTTTGGCCATTTTGCAGGTTTCCTAGCTCTTAAATTAACTTCTTTTAGACGTCTATATACCGTCTGCTTACTTACTGCAACATCAGGAATTTGGCGAAGATCTTGCTGAACATTTACCGCAGTATTTGATCGATTCCGTAAAATCCACAATCTCAAGAAGCGATTATCTCTTGGAGAAGTTTTTCGAGGGCGACCAGAACCAACCCTCCGAGCGGTGCTTCCTGTTTGTTCGTACTTGCGGATTGCTCTACGAGCAGTTGCTTCATGAACTCCCACTGCACGAACGGCGTAACGTTTACTACGCCCATCATTTACCAGCTCAACTAATCTTACTATTTGTT